CTACCAAGAGTGATCCCTGAGCACAGAGCCAGGAGTTAAATCCTGAACACCATTAGGTATGACCCCCACCAAACAAACAGAATGTGTTTTGGCTCTCCGTCCTGCCGCCACCCCTCTTTTCCCCCCCACCCCCCGCCCCTGCCTTTTACTTGCACAGAAACAGCATTGAACAAAATGACATTTTTCAAAGAACTACTATACCGGCAAATGCTTGTTTCCAGCTCTGCTGTTCACTCGCCTTCTGCTGCTCAGGGGAGTTTCCAAAACCCAGGCTGCAGGAGATCGGAGTACAGAGAGTGTCTTTCTTGGCGGGAGCCCCTCTTTTCAGCCTTCCTCCGTTCTTCAGAGACAGCCCTCACTCCTGGCCGCCGCTCCTGGCTTTGGGACGCTGTTGTGGGTCTGCACTGGGTGGGCCGGTGGGGGTTAGCCCCGTGAGACTGCCGTCCGTATTCCCGCAGGAGAGGCTAGAGGTGAGAGGAAGCCCGGAGCCATCACTCCAGCCGCCAACCCGGGCTCAGTCCCTGGCGCCACATCTGGTTGGCCAAGCCCCAGCAGGAGTCAGCAGTGAGCAGTGCCTGGTGTGGGCCCCCAGTGAACGGAAGAAATCATGAAGGGGAAGGAGGGAGGGAATACAGAGGATGTGGGATGGAAAAACTCAGGAGGAAAGCAGAGGGAAGAAGAGGGAAGTCGCTGTTTGACCAGGGAAGTGGGGAGGTGATGGATACTTGCCTCTTGGCTGAGTCGGGGAGCACAGGATGAGGAGGAACATCCCTGGGAGCCGGTTCCTTTGAGGAAATCCTGCGGGACCCACAACGGGTAGCACCACAGAGAATTTAAAGGGTGCGAGCACAGGATGTGAGTCTTCCTGAAGCTGAAGCTAGTCTGATCGATGAGGTCATCCAGATAGTGGGTCCGGAGGGCACGGAACGCCAGGGAGCTGAGGACAGTGAGTGCACGGAGAGGTGAGTCGCCGTGCCAGGCATCCTGGCGTCCCGTGCAGAAAGGCTACCTAGGGGCTGGAGTGATAGCACAAGAGGGTAGGGCGTTCGCCTTGCATGCAGCCGACTTGGGTTCAATTCCCAGCATCCCATATGGTCCCCCGAGCACCGCCTTGGGTTCAATTCCCAGCATCCCATATGGTCCCCCGAGCACCGCCGGGGGTAATTCCTGAGAGTAGAGCCAGGAGTAAGCCCTGTGCATTGCTGGGTGTGACCCAAAGAGAAAAAAAAAAGGCTACCTGTTGAGTTTGTTTGTTTGTGTTTTCGAACCACACCCAGCAGTGCCACAGAGCTTAGGCTCACTCCTGGTGGAGTCTGGATGTGGTGCCTGGAATTGAGCTGTGGTCAGCCGCCTACCAGCCAGCCATGCCTCCTGCTACTGTACTGGCTCTCCGGCCACGAGATATAGGAGAGGGTGGATTGCGAGTGACTGTCAGCTAAACCTGGTGACCATCTCAGCCTCTGAGCCCAGAGGGTGCCTAGGACTACTCCATGGTCATAGTCAGCCAATGGGCAGGTCCCAAGGCTTCCTCTGGGGGGCTGGGGGGGACCAGATCAGGCAGAGCTGGTGGTGATGGAGGGCTGGGATTTCTTCACACCCTGACATCACCCAGAAATCCAGGCCAGGCCCTTCCCACCAGCACAGGCGCTGAGGTCTTATCCCGGCAGCCCACCTTGGGGTGGTGCTCAGGGTCAGGCTGGGTGGGACCTAGAGAAGTTTTCTCTGCCTCCTTGGAAGGTGCCCGCCCCTGCGGGAAGCCAAGCAGAGTCCTTGGGGAAGCGTGTAGGCCACTGTCGGCCCCTGTGAGCTGAAAATGCCCTGCCGCCCAGGACAGACAGGGAGGAGGGATGTCCGGCTGCTCGGAGTCCGAAGTCCCTCAATTCTGATGCACAGAAGAAGGCTGAGCGCCGCCCCCGCCCCCCCCCCCCCCAACCGAGGATGGAGCTCTCCTAGGCTGCCCGAGGGACAGCAAGAATTCTGATGAATTAATCTCATCACTTTATCAAGGAGGCACTTACAGAAATTGCACAGCCCCGGCCACCAGCCTGGCTTTGTTGGCAGCCAGCCGCGGGAGCCATAAAACAGATTGCAAGGAACAAAAATAAATATATAACATTAGAACTAACTCTTCTCTCTCTCTCTCTCTCTCTCTCTCTCTCTCTCTCTCTCTTCCTCTCTTCCTCTCCCCTCTTAACCTCCCCCCTCTCTCCCCTCTCTCCCCCCTTCTCCCCTCTCCCCCTCCTTTCCCTCCCTCTCTCTTCCCTCCCACACTTTGATCCCTGGCACTTCCATGGGGAGCCCCTGGTGGTCCTGGGCCCTGTAGGAACCTTATATTGAACTGGTGGTTTGCTGGGAGGGTCCCCTGGACCCCCCTGAGTGCCACTAGAAAGGCTCAGAGGGGGAAAATAAGAACATTGCTCGCAGTCTTTCTTTTCTTGGTTTATTTGGGCCATACCTGCTGGTGCTTGGGGCCGCTTACTCTTGTCACCGTGCTCAGGAATCACTCCTGGTGGTGCTTCGGGGTGGCATATGGGATGCTGGGGATCGAGCCCAGGTTGGCAACCGCTTGCTAGGCAAATACCCTACTTGCCTGACCGGTACTATCTCTCTGGCCCCCATTGCTTGTGTTCTTGTGGCTTGCGTCCGATGCTCTTGTCCGGGGAGAGCCCCAGTGCGAGTCACACACACCACACGCCCTGCCTGACCAGGGTGACAGCTGCCCGTGCCGCTGAGCGGGAGTGTGAGACAGCAGCAGCTTCTGGGGGGGGGGTCCCCGAGGCAGCTTGGCAGGGTTGTGAGGTGGTAGAGATGGAGCAGAGACCTACGGGGTGACTGGTACTTTAGAGACCTCTGTGTGTAGGTTGGTCCTCAGTGCCCGGGGGCCCTGCCCCAGGCCAACAGGGTGACGGGGTGCAGGGTCATCATGGGAACCGGGGTACAGAAGCACAGTGGTCTGCGCTGAGCAGCTAGAGCCTCCCCGAGTTCTAGGAACCGAGAACCGGGCCCGGCGGGGGAGGCTGGGCGGAGACGGCCGTGTAGCAGGGCTGTGTCCCACAGAGCTGTCCTTCATGTTTATCTTTGTGATGTTATTTACATAATTTTCCTTATCCAGTTTATCTACTATCTGCTTGAACTTATTTATTGTTCCCATGCTTAGGTGAATATCATTTTCCCAGAAGCAGCCCGCACCCACCTGCTAAGAGGGTTGGTGTTCAGGAGACTCCCATCTCTGCCCCTTGTCGCCTTGTCACCTCCTGTCCTCTGCAGAGGGAGGGGGCCGGGGCAAGTGTCAGTGATGGGGAGAGGAGGCAGACGGTTGTGGGCCTCAGTTTCCCCATGACCAAAGGGGATCTTGCTGCTTTCTGGACACTCAGCAATCCCCTCTACTTCTTAGCCCTCTGCCTGTGTTTTCACACTGTGAGTGGAGTTTCTTGACGCCACCTTGGTGGAGGCCCAGGGACGAAGCCTCAGCCTCCTGCCCTGCTGAGGTCTGCTAGGTTAGCCTAACTTACCCCGACTCCTTGGGGCAGCGAGGAATTCTTTTTTTGTTCGTTTGTTTGTTTTCTTTTTGGGTCACACCTGGCGATGCACAGAAGTTACTCCTGGCTCTGCTCTCAGGAATTAACCCTGGCGGTGCTCAGGGGACCATATGGGATGCTGGGAATCGAACCCGGGTCGGCCATGTGCAAGGCAAACTCCCTACCTGCTGTGCTATTGCTTCAGCCCCACAGCGAGGGATTGTGTGGCCTTGGGTCATTCCATTGCTCCCATCCCAAGATCTCTTTTCTGGAGTGGGGCGTGAAGGGGTGTGTGTGAGGGTCCTTGTGAGGGCCGGGGAGCGGGCAGGGGCCGAGCACCCAGGTGGTTGGCATGGGGGGCGGGGACTGAGCCCTGGCTGTGGACAGCACCCCTGACAGCACCCTCCTGCTTTGGAGAGGCTCCGGGCAGAGAAGGGCTCTGGGCACTTTGCTCCTGCTCCCTTGAGGGGAGGAGTCTGGGGTCTGGGGTTTGTATTGAAGAAACCACAGGCATAGGCCAAGTGCTCTGACTTTGGGACAGCCCCCCAGAGTGCTGAGAGGGAGAGTGCTGAGTGGGAGAATGCTGAGTGGGTTAGAGTGCTGAGTGGGAGAATGCTGAGTTGGGGAGAGTGCTGAGTGGGGCAGTGCTGAGTGGGGCAGAGCAGAGTGGAGAGCATGCTCCCTGGCCTGGCCCCTTCCCTGCCTTCCAGCCCAGGCCCAGCACTTCCTTCCTGCAGGCCCTGCCTCTGGGTACACACCCTCACACTGGCCTCCAGGCTAAGGAAGCCTTTTTCTCTCTGGCTTTTGGCCCACACCCAGCAGTGTTTGGTGCTGGGGCCCCTCCTAGCTTGGCCTGGAGCTCAGGTTGGCCCCAGTTTTGGTTCTGGAGGCCCTGGAGGAAGGGGAAAACCCAGGCAACCTGCACTCCCCAGCCTGCGCCCAGCCCCTGGACCTCTTACTCCCCGGGAGCTAATTTTAAAGCTCTGTTTTTGTTTTTATTTTTGCTTTTGGGTCACACCCAGCGACGCTCAGAGGTTACTTCTGGCTCTCACTCAGGAATTACTCCTGGCGGTGCTCGGGGGACCATATGGGATGCTGGGAATCAAACCGGGTCTGCCGTGGGCAAGGCAAACGCCCTACCTGCGGTGGTGTCCCTCCAGCCCCTTTTAAAGCTCTTTGATCCTCAGATCTCGCGTTGCCCTTCCTCACACTTTTCAAGAGGAGGACACTGGGGCTCAGGGCCTGCCGGGCTTCTCTGAGCAGGTGAAAAGCTTTCTAGGCTGGGAGTGAGTCGGTGGGGTTGCAGGTGGCCACGGCAGGCTTCTCCCTCCTAGTTTGGAGCACTGACCGGGGCTGATCCTCGCGACTCTGGTTCCCTGGGCCCCAGGATCCCAGGGATGGGAGGTGGGGGCGAGGGTACTGGGAGCTACTGCGGTTCCTCCCCACCCACCTCTGCTTACTCTGCCTGTGTGTTCCCTACAGGGAACATCGAGTACAGCTGCCCGGCCACCAACGAGTGTGAGATCACCAAACGGCGACGCAAGTCGTGTCAGGCCTGCCGCTTCATGAAGTGCCTCAAAGTGGGCATGCTGAAGGAAGGTAAGCACCGTCGCCCGACCCCTGCCCGCTGCCCACTGCCCGCTACCCGCTGGGAGCCCATGCCACCCACTCCAGCCACTGCTGTCTTCTTGGGGGGTGCTCCAGTGTTCGAGGAGATGGGGGAGGGGTGGCTGGAGGGCAGGAGCTTCGGGCCCCCACTGTGGGCTCCTGGGGTCCTTCATTGATGGGTCAGGTGGGGTGGGTGTGAATGGAGGGGCCTTTGGGACCCTAGGGCGCTCCCTTCCTGCAGAGGAGAAGCTTGGTGCCTTAGTGCAGGGGACCCCTCTGCCCTGTTCCCCCCTGTCCGGTCTGCTTCCTCCATTCTTCCCTCCCCTCAGCCACTGCCGAGTATTGTCCGGCCACCCTGGCTGAAGCCTGGACATAGCCATGGGGGCGGAGTCTGGGTCTGGAGGGTGAACCCCTGAGTTAGGTACCTGCGCCTGTTCCCTGACCGAGCGTTTCTCTGGGACTGGTCCTCCCTTCCCATCTCTCCCAGCCATGCTGGGGCAGTGGGCGTGGGGGTGGGGGCAAGGAGTGGGGGGAGGCTGTCTCTACTGGCCTTGCATTTCTGAGCTTCACAGATATTATACTCCTGGTTTCTCCACACCCCCCCACCCCCGCAAATAAATTACATGCTGGATTTCAACAATTTTCGCTACTAGGAAGCAAAGGACTATAAAATACCTCCTTATTTTCAGTGTTTGCAGGTTGTGTTTTTATTTTGTGTTTGTTTGAGGGCCATCTCCAGGGATGCTCAGGGATGACTCCTGGCTCTGCACGCAGGAATCACTCCTGGCGGTGCTCAGGGACCAAATGGGATGCCGGGATCAAGCTTGGGTCAGTTGTGTGCAAGGCTAGCACCTTACCTGCCATATGTGCTATCTCTCGAAGCCTCAGCATATTGAACTATGGACAATGAGATTCACAAACTGAGAACTGTGTGGGTGCCTCACGCTGGCCTTGGTAGAGTGAGTCGATCATGGCAGGAATGTGCTCCATGTTTGGACAATATGCTCCTTGCCTCTTGGTCTCCCCAGTCCCTGGAAGTATGCGCCAGCATGAATGAGCTTGGTTCAGGAATGTTTTGGAGGAGAAGGGTTGGAAGAGAGACAGAGAAAGAGACAGAAACAAAGACAGAGACAGAGGTGCAGAGGGAGACAGGGAGACAAAGACAGAGAGATGTACACAGAAAGAGAAAGAGTAGGGGGAGAGAGGGAGAGAGAGAGAAGAGAGAGAGAAGAGAGAGGAAGAGAGAGAAAGAGAGAGAGAGAGAGAGAGAGAGAGAGAGAGAGAGAGAGAGAGAGAGAGAGGAGGGGCATATGTTCTGCCTGGCTTTCCAGGGATCTTTGGAAGTTATTACTGATCACCTGGAGTGTAGACTCTGGGCTGGAAGCCTAGAGCCTTCTAGAAGGGAGGAGGCATGGATTAGGCAATGGGATGATTGGGAGGGGCAGGGAGGAAAGGGGTGGTGGGAGTGAGTCTGGAATTCAGCCCCTGGGCTTCTGGGAGCCCAGCCCTGCTATCGGACACCTGGGGGCATCCTCCACCCCTGCCCGAGGGACACCCCAGAAGAGAACTTGAGTGGACCCTGCTTTATCAGTAGGATGGTGGGTAGTGACCTCTGGAGCACCCTCTCCCTGTTTTCATTCCAAGGCCCTTCCCTCTACTCCCGGGGCTAGTGCTAGGGGCCCTAGCGACCCACTTCTATCTCCATAGCCTGCTGACCTAGACATGACCCTTTCTAACGGGCTGCTTCCTGCACCCGCAGCTCCTCAGACTGCCTGGGCCGGCCATCTCCTTTCCAGAAAAGAATTATTCAGTGTCCTGCAATCGCACCCATGGCTGCTATACGTACTCCTTATTTCAGCTCCGCTAGGGGCCCTACTGCTGCTCTAAGAGGGAAACATTTTTTTTTTTCTTCTGTGTCTGGCTTTTGGGTCACATCCAATGATGCTCAGGGGTTACTCCTGGCTCTGCACTCAGGAATCAATCCTGGTGGTGCTTGGGGTCCCTAAGGGATGCTGCAGATCGAATCCAGGTCGGCTGCGTGCAAGCCAAAGTCCCCACCTCCCCAGCCCACCCACTGTACTACCACTCCAGCCCCGGAAACATTCTTAACCTCTGAGACGGAGCAGGCCCCTCTAGTCTTGCACTCTGCCTCATGGGGGGGGGTTCAGCTGAAGAAACACCCCCTCCCCCAATCCCTTTTTAGGTTTGTTCCGGCCACACTGAGAAGTCCCACAGACCTGCTCTTGGTCCATTTCACACCTCCATGCTTGATCTTCCCTTGTGTAGGGGGTACCTCCATCTTGTTGGTGACCTGCACCCCTGGCTTGTACACCTGGTTCTTTCTGCACTCCAGAACCTCCTGGGGTTTGCCGATGAGGAAGCCAAGGTGTGCAAAGACCGGGTGAAATGTACTTAGGTGCCACCAGAACCTTCTATGTGTGGCTTGGTGGCAACCAGAGGGTTTCGGAGCCTGGGATCTTTCTTCCTTCTCCGTTTTGGAGGGCAGGACTGTAGCCCCTTGCAGGGGAGCTGGGGGGTGTGGTGGATACCCCGGGGGGGCAGGGCCAGAGCCTGTGCCCCGTGTTTTCTCACTTCATAGCTTTGGAGGAGACTGGCCAGCAGATTCCTTCTGAGTTTTCAGGGTGCTGGAATTGTCCTCTGTGGTCAAGGCGAGATGACTCCCCTCCGCCCCCATGTTAGGGTCAGAGCTGCCCCTGGGCTTTGTGCTCCTAGCCTTGTGGCATAGATCCTGCATCTGGAAGCTTCTCTCGCTGACCCCTCTCAGCACGTGGGCAGGAGAGGGAGAAACAGGCTACCATGAGGGCTCCCCCCTGACCCAGGCCCTGGACCTGTATGCAGCTTTTAAAGAATTCTCTGCTGCTGGGAAGATAGCCGGGTCTTCCCAATGGCCTCCTGGATGGGGGAGGATATGGGGATTCTGTGAGCTGGTGGATGGGCGTGTGCTGGGCCCGGGAGATGACTCAAAGGGCCGAGTCCGCATGTGGGAGCCCCAGGTTCAGTCCCCAGCACCACCGGCTGTGTCCCCTCCCCTTACCCCCCCAAATAAAGAGCCCGTATCCCAGCGGGACACTGGGGAATTCTGGGGAGACCTGGCCTATGGGGAAACCCCCGTGGGGACTGGGCCCCAGCTTTGGCCACCCATACTGTGACTAGCCCCATGGTGGGTCCTGGACACTGGGTGGGGTGCAAAAGGGCCACTACTGGAGTATCACCCAGAGTGCTTGCCTTGTATGTGACTGATCCAGGGTCGATCCCTGGCACCCTACGTGGTGCCCCAAGCCCTCCAGGAGTGATCCCTGAGGGCAGAGCCAGGATCTGAAAACGGCTGAGTGTGCCCCTCATTGCTCCCCGACCCCAAAGAAACCCACCCAAAGCAAAAGGCTCTCCAGGCTCCCAATTCTGGCTATAGACATGCCCCAGGCTTTGCCTCCTGCCTGAGGTGTGACCCCCATAAGGCACAGGAGTTTTTGTTTTGTCTTGTTTTGCTTTTTGGGTCACACCCAGCGATGCACAGGGCTTACTCCTGGCCCTGCACTCAGGAATTACTCCTGGCGGTGCTCAGGGGACCATATGGAATGCTGAGAATCGAACCCGGGTTGGCCTTGCACAAGGCAAACGCCCTACTGGCTGTGCTATCATTCCAGCCCCAGACACCAGAGCCTTGAAGTTGCATTTCCCCTCTGACCCCAAACGCATTGCTGGTGCAGCTCTGGGGGACTTCATCAGTCCTCTCAGCAGCTTGTCCCTGCAAACTTCACCTCTCACTTCATTTCATTTCCCTCCCGGAGGGACCCTACCCCAGCCCAGCCCAGTCCAGCTCAGTCCAGCCCCAGTCCAGCCCACCCTTGCTTCCTGGCCTCACTCTATTCCCACCTCCCTTCAGACCCTTGTTCCATGTTCTCTGAAACTATTTGATTGCAGAGAAGCTGGGCTGACATCAATGCGCTGAGCCCCTGCTCTCTTTGTGCTCCCCTGGGACACTGGGTAATTGGGTTAGTGGCCAGCTCATGTCAGGGAATTAAAGGAGGCCCCCGCTCTGGTTTCCGCTGCTTAGGGTTGAATGACTTCGCGTGTGGAGGGTATTCTGCCACTGGCTTTTGCCGGAAACGCCTCTTTCCTGGCTCTGCATGAGGAGAGGACAGATGACTTACCTCTTAAATTTGAAAAAAAAATTTTTTTTTTTGTTATTTGTTTACTTTGATTTTGGGGTCGGCTGGAGTGATAGCACAGAGGGTAGGGTGTTTGCCTTGTATGTGGCTGACCCGGGTTTGATTCCTCTGTCCTTCTCGGAGAGCCTGGCAAGCTATCGAGAGTATCCTGCCTGCACGGCAGAGCCCGACAAGCTCCCCGTGGCGTATTCGATATGCCAAAATAGTAACAGCAAGTCTCACAATGGAGATGTTACTGGTGCCTGCTCGAGCAAATCGATGAACAATGGGTTGACAGTGCTACAGTGCATATTTTGGGGTCACACCCCGTGGTGCTCAGGGATTACTTCTGGCTTTACACTCTGAAATTACTCCTGGCAGTGCTTGGGGAACCATATGGGATGCCAGGGGTCCAACCTGGGTCTGCCACGTGCAAGGTAAGTGGCCCTAACCCCCTGAGTATCACTTTCTCTTGTTAAAATTACTTTGAAAGAAAAAAATCCTTTCGCACCAGAGTGATAGTATACAGTGTGTGGGGTATTTGTCTTGCATGTAGCTGACCCAGGTCAGATCCTCAGCATCCCATGTGGTCCCTTGCACCACCAGGAGTGATCCCTGAGTGCAGAGCCAGGAGTGACCCCTGAGCATTCATTGCTCAGTGTGGCTCAGACACCAAGAAGAAAAAAAATACTTTTCTCTTCCCAGAATAAAGTTGTAGTCAATGAACTGGACCCATGCACATGTACACCATGCATGCACACATCCATCCATACAGGCACACAACACATTCACATGTACATAGGTCTGCTCACACAGGAGCTT